TACTTCTGCAGACAAATTATCTGCGAAGCATATTTTTTAATATTGAGATTTTGCTGACAACATCCATAATCGCCAGTGCCATTTATTCATAGACATTCTCCCCCCACAGTATTCACAAAGTATGCGTCGGAGTTTGTGGCAGGGATCCTCTCGAGCCACTAAGCCTGCCCAGCTTTCACTGTTTCATGGCTATAGAATCAATCAGGCAGTATAGAGAGTGCTTTTTAATTAGATCATATCAGGATTATAATTAGCACTGTGTAGGAGCAGAGTTAAGGTAACACGGCAAAATGCAGAACAATTCCATCCTGCCTGGCACGGCAGTGAAATACCTAATAGCATCTGATTATTTTCTCCGTGCCACATGCACTTTCCTTTCCAGCACCAGCTGGTGGAAGTGGCTCCGGGAGGAGAAGGTGGAGAGTGTCACCTTAGTCCCGCAGCTGCAGAGCTAACAGGGTGCAAAGCTGGCCCGGTCGCTTCCACACCGGCGGTACGGACTTCCAGGAGCAGAGTGGACCTCCTGTGCGGTGCATAAATGACATATGGGTTCAACACTAGGGGAAACACCTATTTGGCTGCAGGCACCTTTTCTCTGAGCTCCTGGAAAGGAGTCCAAGCTGTTGGAAGCAGGTTAGGCAGCACACCCTCTGCCTCACACTCTCACGAGCAGCTCTCATGACAGAGATACCAGCTTAGCATAGTTTGCAGACTTTTGTCCTTGCAGCTCTGGAAGAGTGGGAGGTTGTCCTTTCTGCAGTCCTCTTGAAATCTGATGAAGAGCCTCAGCCATCTGCCCCCCTCTCTTTGTCTACATCTCACAACAGGAGAAAATAGAATGAAGTTCATCGTTACCACATTTATCTCAACAAATGTCTGCCCAAGATTCCACATCTATTTTAATGAAAATAACTAAATACCAACAACTAAGGGCTCACAAGGTAGTCAATATGATTTAAAGCTCCATGAGTGCTGTAAGCAAGGTGAGCTGGAGCACAGCCACATTTCGCAGAGTAACAAAACCATGTGGGCTGGAAGAGATCTCTGGACTTCATCTAGTCCAACACCTTGCTCAGAGCAGCATGGTTTTCAGAGATGCACTGCTCCCCAAGAGCAGCAAGAGCACCTTTGCAAAGCAAGAGGAGGCAGCCACTGAGCACGATAACCAGGCAGGCAGAGGCAGCAGCCTCACTGACAAGCTAGTCAGTCCCAGAGTACCAAACACGAAGAGCGGAACATGTACGGTCATGGTAGCCAGGCTCAGCCAAGAGTCCAGTGATTGCCAGGCAAGTCTGTAGTAATGAGGGAAGACCCATCAAACAGCATTGTCCCCCACCATCAGTTCCTGAGGGACAGCCAGTTGCCAGTTGTATTTCGGATGCTGATCACCAACCTTGGAATGCAGCAATCCAGCCAGCACTTATCAATCCACAATTTGTCTACCAAGAAACTACTGAAGAATTTTTTTGAGAACTTGATGAAGTCCATTTCAAGCAACGTTCACTGCACTTCTCTTGTTTAGAGAGCCAGTCATTTGTAGAAATCAATTAGGTTGGTCAGGCATGATTTGTCATTGGTAATGCCATGCTAGATGTTCTCAATCACCTTCTTGCCTTTCATGTGCTCAGAAATGGATTCCAGAAGACTTTGCTCCATAATCTTCCCAGGTGCTGTGGAGAGACCAGCAACTCTGTAGTTGTTGCTCTTCTCCAAGATGGGTGCAACCTTTGTACTTTTTCAGTCATCAGGGGTCTCTCCAGATTGCCATGACTTGTTACATGTGCAGGTTTCCTCCACAACCTGAGATGCATCTCTTTGAAGACTTGTAGGAACCACTGAAAAATTTCCTTAGATGCTTTCTAAAATACGTTCTACATCTAACAAAATATCAGATCAAGCCCTCAGATTGTATCTGACCTGGGGTCCAGCAACTGACATTTCCACATGTCATTAGAGTCTTTAAAATACAATTGATAAAACTAGCATATAGAATAACATTTTATCTACCAACAGCTTTTAAAAAGCCTACTTGGAGCAAGGAAAAGGATTCTTCCCCTCATCTAAACAAGATCCCTTTCAGTTTGGTAAATGGCACTTGTCAAACAAGTTTTCCCCACTGCCAAAGCTATCCTTGCAAAGTTGGTTAAGTTGGCTTTAAAGATACTTTCTGTTATAGCATAGCAGAAAGTCATCTTCCGGTGGTTCAGATCTGGTTAATCCCTGTCTGTGTGTGCAGACATTCTTCACCCATACAGGCACCTTCTGCCTTACTTTACCCACTTGCAGTAAACGTATTTTGCATATTCAGAGAAAATGCTCCATGCCTGGTCTCTGCACCATGATCAAGTTCCTGTGTACTTTATCATAATGGAATTTCAGTAAGATACAGTGCATTTGTCAAATAATCAGTTAATTCCATTCTCTGCCATAATTTTTTTCCATTTTACTGCAGCTAGGGTATAGGCATTCTCCCAGTCCTGTGGGGAATTGGCTGCAGTTTTCTGCTTCTGCTCTACCTTCACTACAAAGGGAATCACATTAGACTGGCAGCAACAGTCTCATGGCTTATTAGTACTTCCTTTGCTGATCTTTGAAATGTTGTACCCTGAGAGGAAGCATTTAGCAGCTATGAAATGAGCCAAAGAAACACAACATTTGAAGAGAGCTTTCTCTTTCCCAAACTACGAAACGTTTTTAGCAGGCTGACTAAAAGCATTATACACCCTATAACACCAACATTAAGAAATCAAAAATTTTCAAAAAGCTCAGAGATGAGATAATCATGAGATTGCTCCCCAAAGTCTATTTCCTGAAGATACCTCTAAAATGTCTGCCATTAACCTACATCCCATTTTTCCCCACATCTCCCTACTGAATCAGAACTATGGACTGAATCTTAAAAATTAATAACCAAGAAACACAGAACATTGGGGTTTTTGTGTCAAGTTTCCCACTTATTTTTCAGCAGACATTCATGTTTTTACATAAATGAACCAAGACACAGCTCAGGTAACATGACTGTGATTATTATACAAGGCATCTTTTTTTCCTTCATCCACTATTGTCAAAATACTTAGCAAAAAAAAAAAAAAAATCATACTACCTGATTTTTACAACTTCAATCAACTATAATTCTATATATTATTTGATAATCACATTACTCTTATTTAGCTTAAAACTCAGATCCATAACTGCCCTACCAATTAAGTGGAATTGATTCTTTATTGTCCTCTGATCCCACTTACTGAGACATACCAGGAGGGACAAATGAAAAGGAAGAGGCAGAAACCCTACAGCTGTCTTCTGGACAGAAGTCCTGGAGAAATGGCCGGGGGGGAGGGAGGGAGGCAGTTCTGTTATTTCCTTCACACCTCCTTGCCTGAGCACCAGACACCATGACTGCACCAGGAGAGTTGGGTTTTGGGTCACTGCAACAGTTCCTCCTGCACTGGGACTTGGTTGACTCGTAATCAGTTGCTGAGACACACCTAAGGGGCATCTTTAGACTGACATTGCCTCTTCACTACTGCATGCATGAATTTCAAGGAAAGCATCTTTCCCTGATTTGTTTTGAGAAGACACAAACTGAGTACCCTTGGACCTCTGGCATATGCAGATGTTCAACTAATAAGAAACTCCAGACAGGTACAGATCAACCAAAGAGCCAACAGGTTTTAAGTTGGGACTGCTGAAAACATCTGATTTGATAACCCATGTTGAAAAAGGCTGGAGAAGCATCTGGGCAGTGCCTGCATTGTCTGTGGGACAGCAGTAGGAAAAAATCCAAGCTAACACAGAAATACCATGGTATGTGTTAGAGATAACAGATACATAGCTTAAAGTCTGTGTTTTTTCACTAGGCTGAGTAGCTGCTACCCAAATAAAAGGATTAAGTATCAGATACACCCTGAAGATATTTCTTCAGACTACTCTCATGTCATATGAAAGCCAGTGCCAAAAAACACTGATTTGAAGTTGTGGTTGATCAAAACCATCCTTCTAACTTTGAACAGTCTCTGTACACCATCATGTACACAGTCGTATTGAAAAGCTGAAAGACCGAAGTCCTATGATGTAAACTTTACACCAATTTTGGTTAATACAGAAACCTTTAAACATTTAATTAGAAAATAAACTTAGCAGGATGTTTCACAACTTGGAAATGTTATGACTTTCAATGTTCTCTAACAAACAACTTCTCAGCACTCTGCTGTAAACTTGGGTCCTCCACTAAATAGCATCAATAAAATGGCAGCTCCTGTGGAGAGAATTAAAACTAAATAAACAATCCCTTTTCAATTTTAAAAAACCTTATCCAGAAAATTCACACTTCAATTTTATATATACCTCCTAGGAAGACCAGAACTTCAGTGGCGCTTCAAGTGACACCGCTAATGCAGAGCTCTGTGATCCTTAGTCTTATATTTAGACCATTCTTTGGGACTGGTCTTAAACACAGAAACCAAAGGAAAGGGAAACATTTTCAGATTCATGTGAGAGAAATCCAGATTAACACTGACTTTGTGATTTTTTGACTGAAACCATAAGTGTGATTTGAGTTCTGCCACGAGAAGAAAAAAATAAAAAAAAAAAAAGCAGCAGCTGAGATTTCACCAAAATGAGCATCCAGCCTCCAGAGCTCAGCTCTGATGACAACAGATACGCTCCACAGCAGTATCAGCAAGGTGGATCATTTAGACAAGAAGCACAATCGTTACTTACACAGACCATTAACTAGCACACACACATGCAGAGAAACACATGGAAACTTTCTGTCGGCCAAGGAAGTATTATACAATGAATTTGGGGAGAGAGAGGATTTCACATGAAGTTGCAGAAAGAGTCCTTAAAAAGCATTTTGAAATGAATGTCAGAACACCTTATATTACAGATCATTTTTTATACTTAATCATTTTTACTTCCTCCAAGATCTATTAAAAAAAAAATATCTGCCTAAATAGAAGCTACTTTTAAACCACAGGACGCAGTTCTGCCTTTACGCGCACAGCGCATTTCAGAAGTCACCGTGAAGGAGGAGGCAGCAGCTTCGCTAGCTTTAGGCTGACGGGCAGACAACTCCTTGCGGCCAGGAGAAATCCCAGCACAGGGCCGGCCAGGGCTGCCTGCACCCCAGTCCCGGGAGAGCCCCCGGGCTGCAGCGCAGCGGGAGATGCCCTCCTTCGCCCGCCCCAAGGGGATGCGGGCTGCGTGCCCCCGCCCCGGGCTGAGCTGGCCCAGCTGCGCTGCCCTTGGGTCACAGCGCCGGCTCACAGCTGCCTCGCGCCGGCTCCTTCCCTTGCCGTCGCAGCGACAGCACCCGCTGCCGCCAGCTACTAATCAAACAGCTTCATACGAATCCATAATTGATTAATTTTTAAAAAAGAAACTTTCAAAACATCGAACCGTCTTCGCCGGTCATTAATTCAAGCCTCTGAATATGCTCTGTCTCCAGACACTTCTACTTGTGCATACTTATTTTAAGAGCACTTCATCACAGCATTGATGCTACTTGCATACATCCATCGCTTCTTAATTTCATTGTGTGTGTAAACAGAATTGGATCTACAAAAGTAGGCGTAGAGCAAAAATGCATAAATAGAAGTGCCCAGAGTTTTATGTTATAACACTACACAAACTGTACTGGCAAGACGTGAAGTCACATTTACTAAGAACTATGAAACTTAAAAACCAAAACTATATCTGATTCTGTACACAGAATAGCTATGCCTACTTACCTAAGACTATTTCTGGCAAACAGAACCTTTTATTATTTATTAAACACAATTAACTCCCTTTTTGTCTGAAAAGATTCAAAAATTTCCCTTGCGTGAACATCTTATTTTGACAAAACTACATTAAGATTTTTAATTCACAGCATACACTGCCTGCTTTCAAATACAAAACATCGACATCATTAATTCCATCCAGAATTATTTATGTGGGATGATGGGTCAAAAAGCAGACTGGAAGGCAATAGCTTCTTCTGGATTTTGTTTTCCAAGTATTATGCAACTGATAATTTTCTGAGGAATACTGACTGAACAGTCAGTACCATAGACATAGTCAAACTACCAACATCACCTCCTGCATCACCATCCTAGCTTGTAAACTAAATTCCTGAGGAGCGCAGCATCATCCACCCACTTCCACTCCCCATCCACTTGCAGCTCTAGATTTGTTGATGGGCTAGAGATGGGGATCGTGTTACTACCTGGATCAACAATCTGCAGAAATTTGATGCACTGTTTTCTTGGTAATTAAGGAACTACATAGTAAAAAGGACACCCTGCTGAATTCACCTGCTAGCTTTTCTTCCAAGTCATCAATTGAATTGCTTGCAACTGCTGTCCCAACTCCAATCATCTAACTTAAGGCTCAATGAACATGAAGAAGACCAGATATAATGAACATGTCCCACAGTGGCCACTTCTCAAAAGACTTCTTAGAAGTTTAATTTTAAAAGCAGGATGGGAAGAGGTGAAAAATTACAGAGAAGTAGCAGCAAGAAGTGGGGAACTAATTTATGTATTTTTCCCCTGTAAAATGAGTTTGATGAGACCTGCAGTGCTTACAAAAATAAAAGTGATGGTACTGGAAATAAATATGAAACCACTTATGTTCTCTTCTTCTCAAGCATCTTCTCTCTGAAGGCATCAAAATATTTTCAGTAATAACACCAGCTAAAAGCGAAGCGTTCCACTCATGTTTCACTTTTCTCAGCTATGCACAGAAGAATTTAGCACCCTACTACAGGTCACACAGCGCATCAGCTGTATTGATGATGAGAAAAAACATGATGATGAGATAAACTGGTGACGCGAAAATACAAGTGGATGCCAACAGCGGCACTAGATCACACCAGACTTATACAGTTATTGTAAGAGACCAAACTTTCCTCAAGGATTTAAATGTTTTTCTGTTAACAAAGATCTAGATCAGCTCACTAACAAAGCCCTGTGGAACCTAGTAAAATAGTCAAGACACCAGTACACTCATGTGTACCGGGTTTGCGTGGC